GGGCAGATCTGAACTCCTAGAGCTTTGGTCCACAATACTAAATGAAAATATCCACAACTTTTTTCCTAACCCTTACCCCCATTTGCTCATTCATGGACTTCATCAGCAGGACCAAGGTTGGCACAAGGAGGTGGCATCTTGGGCAATCATCAGAAGACCTGGCATAGGCATGCTACAACAGCTTCTCTTTCCTTTGTTTGTCTGTTTTGTACTTCTTTTATTTCCTGCATCTTTGCTCTGGGCCTGAGCCCTCACCATCACTTGTACCTCCATTGACCTCACTCTCATGTAACTAAATCTTTGCATTACCAGAGGAGCTACTGCTCCTCTCGTCTTCCATAGTCTTAGACTCAGATAGGACGTTAAACCAATCAATCAATCAATCAATTACACAACTTGAATTTTTTTTGCAAGTGCCTGGTATGAAAGTTGTCCTGCTGCTTCTGTTGCATCTGCCTCTTTAAGCGCATCTTCAAGCAACATTGTGGTGTTGAGTTATAGCGTTGAGGATTTTGGGATGTTTTGGTGCAGGGTGTGCACAGCTTGACGCTGTGCACGGCGTGCACGGACACGGTAGTGTTGTTTAGTACCGATCCATTCTTGGTCCACATAGAACCTCAAGAGCGTACCAGTGCTGGCATAACTGATCGAACGTGCGCTGTCTGCCACAGCGGAGTGAAAAAGCGTTGCACGGTTCGATGTTGATATTTGGGTGCAGCTGAGGCAGACGTCAGCCTGGTTCGGCCAGTGGCCTGTTTATCTGAGTCCTTGGCACCTTGATGTAAGCGCCAGCGCACAGCATGTCTTCTGTCTTCTGAAATGAATCTATGAGGTCGCGCAGGCTGCACAGACTCACCGAGACGAGCACCCGGTTGTACCCCGCAAAACAGTTCCACCAAGCTTCCGTGACTAGTGCGACAGTTGCAAAGCAGCTGTGTGCCGGCCGCATCGATGCACCGCCCGGCCAGAGACAACACGACGTATAGCGGCAACCGAGCGGACGGCGACTCCACCAACATCTACGGCAACGTCTACGGCGATGTGCACCTTCCGGGACGGCCTCGCGAGGCTGGCGAAGCATCGTCCCAGCAGTGCCTGCGCGACCTGCGGGTGACGGACCCGCGCGAAGACCGGGCGCGCATTGAAGGCGACAAGGACAAGCTGCTCCGAGACTGCTATGCCTGGGTGCTGGACGACGCCAGCTTCCAGCGATGGACGACGCAGGAAGCGTCGCGGCTGCTGTGGATTAAGGGCGACCCAGGCAAAGGCAAGACGATGATGACGATGGGTGTGATCGCTGAGCTGTCGCAAGGAGATAGAGCTAGGCCACCGCCGAGGACAATGTCGAAGATACTCGCGAAACTCAAACTCAACTCGAAGCAGGATAGTAAGGGAGCGTCAGTACAGCGTCTTGTGACCTACTTCTTCTGCCAGAGCACGCTACCAGAGCTTAACAACGCGGTGTCGGTCCTTCGCGGGCTTATCTATATGCTTATCACACAGAGAGAAGAGCTTATGCACCCTGTGCAGAAGCGGTACGAGGCCGTAGGCAAGCAGCTGTTCGAAGGGCCCAACGCCGTCTATGCGCTGCGGGAGTTACTGTCAGATATGCTTAACAACGCCTCGCTGCCGCCGACGTACCTGCTTGTCGATGCGCTCGATGAGTGCACGTCTGGTCTGTCTGAGCTACTGCACATCATCACCGATGCCAGCCTTGGACGACAGTCAAGCGTCAAGTGGCTAGTGACGAGCCGCAACGTGGCAGAGATCGAGCGGTATCTGCAGCCTGATTCGCTCGGCGTCAAAGTGAGCCTTGAAGTACAGGCCAGCTACGTGTCAAGAGCGGTTGCGACGTTTGTGACATACAAGGTGCAGCGGCTGGCGATCGTGCAAAGATACGATACAAGGTTGCAAGCGGAAGTGCAGCAGCAGCTCCGCGACAAGGCGGAAGGCACGTTTCTGTGGGTGTCGCTGGTGTGCAAAGAGCTGGAGAAGGTGCCGCTCTACCGCACACAAGAGGTGCTGCAAGCACTGCCGCCGGGGCTCGACCCGTTGTATGACCGGATGATGGGACAAGTCTTAGGGCAGGACGCAAGGACTGTGGGGTACTGCAGGTCCATTCTGCGTACCATTACCCTTGTCTTCCGGCCGCTGCAGCTCAGCGAGCTCGCCGCAACTGCAGGCCTCCCTCGCGACCAGTTCAGCGACGAGCAAGCAGTCGCCGACCTTGCTGGCCGCTGCGGCTCGTTCCTGACCGTGCGTGAAGGCGTTGTATCCTTCATCCACTTGTCTGCCAGAGACTACTTCACACTAGGCAGTGGCAAGCAAATTGTCGATGGTACGCTTGTGGAAGATCATAGGTGGCTGACCGAGCGGCTGCTAGAGGCGATGAGTAGCACGCTGCGGAGAGACATGTGCGGCCTACAGAAGCCGGGAGCGCGCATACAGGAGGCGATCAGTCAGGTCCCCAACAGCAGTTTGCCGCAGATTGCATACGCATGCGAGTACTGGGTCAAACATATTTGGGCAGGCAGGCAAGACTGCAAAGATCTCGTAGCAGATGGTGGCAAAGTGTACAGCTTCTTTCAGAAGCACCTGCTGCACTGGCTCGAGGCAATGAGCCTGCTGCAGAAGATGCCGAAGGCCGTACTCGCGCTGCAGCAGCTGCAGCGATCACTACCTGTAAGTCAAAGACCGGCCACATGATCTTACTATTACTGATCCTCGCACAAGGTGGCAGGAAGTACAACGGTGTCCAAAGTCGTTCACGATGCTATGCGGTTTGCGATGTGGAGTGGATCTAAGATACAACACGCGCCACTGCAAGTGTACTACAGCGCGTTGGTGTTTGCGCCAAAACAGAGCGTTGTTCGGCATCAATTTAGTCAGGAGATGCCAAAAGGTGTTAAAGTGATGTCTGGACTCGACACGAACTGGGGTCCTTTACTGCAGACGCTCGAAGGTCATGTTGGCAGTGTCAGCAGCGTGGCCTTCTCAGCAGTAGGAGATCGACTGGCGTCGGCTTCGTTCGACGAGACGATGCGGGTGTGGGACGCGCAGACTGGACAGCTGCTACAGACGCTCACGTGCCGTACAGCCTGGGTTCATGGCGTGGCCTTCTCCCCAGCAGGAGATCGACTGGCATCAGCTACATCGGATACGACTGTGCGGGTGTGGGATTTGAAGACTGGTCAGCCGCTGCACACACTCAGAGGCCATACGAGCGGTGTCATCAGCGTGGCCTTCTCGGCAGTAGGAGATCGACTGGCATCGGCTTCGTACGATCAGACGGTGCGGGTGTGGGACGCGCAGACTGGCGAGCCACTGCATACGCTCAAGGGCCATACCGACAGGGTCAACAGCGTGGCCTTCGCAGCACAAGGTGATCGACTGGCATCGGCTTCGTTCGATAAGACGGTGCGGGTGTGGGACGTGCAAACTGGACAGCCGCTGCACACGCTTAGAGGCCATACGAGTGGTGTCAGCAGTGCAGCCTTCTCAGCAGCGGGAGATCGACTGGCTTCGGCTTCGTACGATCAGACGGTGCGGGTGTGGGATGTGAAGACTGGCGAGACGCTGCACACGCTCGAAGGCCATACAGACGATGTGAACAGCGTAGTCTTTTCGGCGGCAGGTCATCGACTGGCATCGGCTTCAGGGGATCGAACCGTGCAAGTGTGGGATGTACAGACTGGACGGAGATTACATACGCTTAGAGGCCATACGGATCGTGTCCGCAGCGTGGCCTTCTCGGCGGCAGGAGATCGACTGGCATCGGCTTCAGACGACTGGACGGTGCGGGTGTGGGACGCACAGACTGAACAGCCGCTGCAAACGCTCAAGGAACACGCTGACGGGGTCAACAGCGTGTCTTTCTCGACAGCGGGAGATCAACTCGCGTCGGCTTCGTTCGATAAGACCGTGCGAATATGGGATACGCAGACTGGACAACTGCTGCACACGCTCGAGGGCCATACAGGCTGGGTCTACAACGTGAGCTTCTCGACAGCGGGAGATCGACTGGCATCAGCTTCGTACGATGAAACAGTGCGGGTGTGGGATACGAGGACTGGACAGCTGCTGCAGACGCTCAAGGGCCACATGGACCGTGTCTACAGCGTTGCTTTCTCGGCAGCAGGAGATCGACTGGCATCAGCTTCGTACGATGAGACGGTGCGGGTGTGGGACGCGCAGACTGGACAGTCGCTGCTTACGCTCCAGTGTTTAGCCTGGGTCTACGGCGTGGCTTTCTCGGCGGCAGGAGATCGACTGGCATCGGCTTCATCCGACTGGATGGTGCGGGTGTGGGACGCGCAGACTGGACAGCTGTTGCACACACTCAAGGGTCATACAGGGTGGGTCCGCAGTGTGGCCTTCTCGGAAGCAGGAGATCGACTGGCATCGACCTCAGACGATCATACGGTGCGGGTGTGGGATTCACAGACTGGACAGCTGCTGGACACGCTCAAGTTCCATGCAGGCTGGGTGAGTAGTGCCGCTTTCTCTGCGGATGGAACATATCTCGAAACTAGCCTTGGGTCGATGCCGCTACCTGCATCAGTCATGTCTGTATCTTCACTGACTCCTCAGCCAACACATCGCATCCTCGTTTCAGGGAGATGGCTGACCGTGAATTCAGACGGTTTACTCTGGATACCTATCAACTACTTCCCTAGCTGCACAGCTGTCAGATGCCACATGGTTGCGTTTGGGTACACTTCTGGAAGGGTGTTGCTCCTAGGGTTAACTTAAAAGGTGCGCACGCACAGTCTTTTCATCGTTACTAGCTGCATTCACATAGCAAGTCTAGAGAAGCAGCATATTTAGTGCACGTTCCTCACCTTCACGTATTCATATAAGTTCAAGATAAATGACTAATTACGTCGAATCCCATTGAGAAGCAGCTACGGCATAAGAGGCGAAAGCTGTCTAACAAGCCGCTTAGCATGATCTGTGTAAGCAAGGCACTTACCTCATAGAGCAGGTGGGGCTGCCTACCCCTGTTTCTACGCTAGCGGGAACAGTGTTGCAGCTGCGTGTTGTTAAAGTGACCTTCCTTCCTAGCCCTTTGGCGCTGGCAAGAATGTTGCGTACAAGGCTGAGCTGTCCGACTACAAGAACGAGGTCAAGGAGGAGTTGAAGAACCCCCCAAGACAAGTGTGCTTGCTTGTCATCAGGCCAAGCTCCTGGAGCATGTTGTTGAGAATGTAACGACGCAGGCCAGTAGGGAAGATGTCCAAAGTAAGTGTGAGTCCACTGCAAGGCATTTGGGAGTGCTGGGACGTTGAGAACACTAGGATTGAATTCCCTACACCTATAGGCCTTGTACAAAAGGATACAGAAAAACTACTCTATCTAACGACTGTGCCAAACTGATTAAGTACACAGTTTGGAGGGGAATCGGAACTACCCTTGTCCAGTTGACAAGGAGGTAGTTAGCAACAGGAAGGAGAGCGGTGTGCTGAGTCCCACAGGAACCAGACGTTATTGGAGCGCTTTCGGTTGAAGGCGTTACAGAGAATGCTGTTGAGACTGTCAAGCAGCGGTAGCTCCTGGTATGTTGTTCTATTCCTTTTTTGCCATGGTGTTTTTGCATTTGCTGACATGTTCAAAGTACAATGCCAACAATATGCTCCTCCGCCATGTTGCTGTTGTGGAGGGTCACCTTTGCCAGAGGTTTGACCTTGAGCTTGGTGATGGCGATGCAGATGCTGCTGTAATGGGCTAGACCCATGTGGACCCACCTATGGGTGTGGGCTAAGCTTAGAGCCTAGGAGCAGCGCAGTCATGCTTTTCTACCTGTATAAACATCAACTATGCAAGATAATTCCTGTTGATTCAACTTGCGCATGCCTTTTGGCATAGGTTGGTGCATATAGTCATGCATGTAATGGGCTAGGCCCATTGTTAGCGCCTTGGCAACAGCACAGGCCTCGGTACCTCCGAAGCGGACGTACAACCTCCGGTTACCTCCAGAGCGGGCCTGCAACCCCCAAAGCGGGAGTATTAGAATTCTGCAAGTCCCGCTCTGGGACTTGCCCCTTTTCAAATCCATCAAGTTCTACATTGCATATTGCCCTCAGCGGCTTGCCCCTTACAATGCATATTGTCTTGTGGACTCCACCCTTTACATCTCACACCAAGAATTCCGCCATCACATTGGCACACTACATGTGCAGCCAAACTGCACATATGAAAATGACATGACACCAAATAACATCTATCCCTGCATACAGTAACAAGACAACCTGCATGACAAGATGCCACAGACACTTCCCAACACAACAAACTGAACAACAGGTCAGAATGATATACATTCTCAGAATAGTAGCCTTAAGTTACAAAGTCTATTCTCTTCTAATGCCTTTGAGAACAAGGTTCTTTTTACCATGCAATACAACAGTTTGGTATGAGCACAATGCAACCGCCTCGCTTTGGCTGGCCGCAGGTGCGTTGAAAGCTCATACATCTTATCAAAGTTTGATCAACTTATGGCTTGTCATATCATTATCCTATCCCAAGTACTGGGCTTGATCTGGAGGGGCTGTTGTACCTCTGTGCTAAATCTAAATCTGCCTGCTAGAAGTGCCAGACAAAAAGACTCACACCTAGCTTAAAGAAGCTTTGCTGTGACCTATCGCTACTGACGCGAAATCTGTGGCTGTGTGGCCGAACAGCACTTTTGCCAAGCGGTCGCATGTCACCCGAAAACCGGCTTGGATCAGGTTTTCACGCCCTGGCGTATAGCTTATGTCAACGAACATACACAGCATCGAAACCGCAAACAGCTTCCATCGTAAAACTTTAAGATACAGTGTATTGCATGAATATAGCTAACGCGAAAGCTTGCATGCCAAAGAGACAAACTATTGCGGCGCCCTACTGCTCCGCAGACCCCTTGGTTGGCCCCGCCGCTGATCGGACAAAAGATCTGCTCAAGCCTTACTACGTCCTCAAGCTTCTCGAGCGCATCGTAATCGATACATGTACCAATCACGAGGTAGGGCTTGCCACCATTGGCCTATCGTAATTCATTGTTACTAATGAATGGCTGTACAGTCGACAAGAGCGGCCTTGTCTGCCCGGCGTGATCACAATGTCACAGTCTATGGAGCCCCGTTCAATGGATAGTTATCACACTATAGAAGAAATAACAGAGATGTGGCGCCAGCTCAACAGGGAACGATCCGAATGGACTCTTCAACAACATGAAGAATGGCATACGTTCCTGTTCTATCAGTGTCTTGCCCGGGATAGACGCTACAAGCGGAAGACACTTTCAGAATATCTACCAGACACATCGTGGATCTTCCCCGGCCTCTTCATAGGCTTTTTGGAACTACTGGATAACTACGAACCGATTTCGAGGTACGCAGTGTATTCAAAAGAATATATCTATGAGTTCATTTGCCCGGACTGCTCCATACGCGGAATCGCATTGATCATGATGGGGGCTCTCTTTGGTTTGGTATGCCTCGTGCACTCATCAGCTGTGCTATTGTTGGCAATTTGGAAACACAAACGATGGTTACCTTTCGCATTGGCTCTGTTTTGGACGACTGGTTACCTATTGGATGAAGTGCAGCAGCTTTACAAAGCTTGGTCAGGATAGTGCATTGTTGCAGGTGGACAAGCATAGGATCGACCATGATTACAAGACTGTATCCGTCATATGCCTCGTGAGATGAAGAAGTCGAGGTCTTGATAGTCGTAGAGCTGTTGCAGGTCGAGCCCATGCTCAAGAGCCATGTTGCATTTGTTGCGAATGTCGTCCTTCTGATCTTCCCTCATCACTCGTGACTGCTGCTAGTTGCTGTACTCCTCTACCGTGGCGTCTAGAAAACCGGGCACATCAACACAAAGCTTGGCTTGCACTTCGGCTGAGCCCGACGTTAGGTGAGACGACCCAGGAAACACGTTCGTTATGGGGATGAGAGCATGACCAGTCGGGACGCTGTGACTGGCTCTTTGGTGTCTTTCCAGCTGTTGCTGCTCTTCTGCATAGAATTGCTGACGGAGGTCCTCCGGCACATCATTGTGCGACTGCAACTAGTCCCCCCCCCCCCTGCACTACATGCCTTATCAAAGCCTTCAGCTGATGTGTTCTCAGTTCGTGATGTTTCTTTCCGTATGGATCCCGCCAGCAGTGGGCCCCAAGGCTACAAGGCGGGCCTGGGCATTGTATCAAGTTACATACGTCCTGCCAGATGGACGGCTGAGTGGACGCTCCTTCCTCGGCATCGGCCTGCGAGTCTCTTTCAGCGAGCATCTGCTGCATGGCGGAAGGGTATCCTCGCTTGCCACCTTTCTTCAATGCCACTGGCGCTGGCTGTCCTAGCTCTACATAGTTGAACGACACATCCACTCTCAGCTTCTTATGGGTTGTTCTCGAAATACCGTAGCACCCATCCCCCCCCCCGTGACTTTGCGGGGTTTCCGCACACAAACGTTTTACTATGGCATATTTCAATATTCAAGAACAATAAACAACCACACAGTATAGCGTAGTACAGCGATAATTGAAGCTGCTCAGTTGCTTCTTATTTGCTATTGCAATTGATTTTCTGGTGTTGTAGCTGCCACAATGAGCCGCCTTATCGACTTCAATGGCCCATGAGATTGGCAGCAACAACACCATCCAACGCCTCCTCCTGTATGACGGTAGCTGTGCGCGTGTGGGTCTGAAATGATCGCAGAGGCGGCGGAGCGGTCAACTGCGATACAGGTATAGGGTCTCCAGTGAGATAAAGGTTGAAGTCAATGGTGAGCTTCTCGCTGGTGTCAAGGTCTAGTGACTTTGCTAATTCTCTCAGGTCGTGCACGTCTTGTACGTTGCCTCGCCAAAGCCGCTTCTGAGGTCTATTGCGCTTGTTAGTACATCTGCCAAACCAGAGCTCTGCTACAAGACTCACTACTTTGACGTTGCTGCGGCGGTTGACTTGGCTGTCAATAACCTCGTCGACCCACATCCAGAGGCCGGTCATGGTAAGCCTGTCGACCTTGTAATTGGTCATGGAGTCAGCTGCTGAGTGTATAGGGTTCTTCTCAATGTTACCAAAGGCCGCGCGGTAACGTAAAGTAGCAACAACTCCATGTTCTGGCTCTGGAAACTCAGCAGCTGAATCCTCCCCAGCATCGACGTTGACCTCGCTGAGAGCTTCTGCATCATCCACTACCTCCTCTGGGTTGGGATCTCCATCTGCATCTGCTTCGGCATCGTCGCTGTCCTCACCTCGCACAAACAATGACTCCTCCCCTGCCTCTGTAGCTTGGCTCGCAGGTGGTCTCAATGAAGGACGACGTACTGTTGATGGCGGAGTAAATGGATTTACACCCACTTCAAATTGGCTTGTGGATGTTCGCTGATGTTTACTATAGGCAGGTGTTGCAGGTGCATCCTGTGTCAATTTGGGGGCCGGCTCATTGATTTTCTGACGATGTGACCATTTCAGAGGCATCACAACACCACAAAAAGTCAGGATACTAATAATGTTGAGCTTCAAACTATCTTAGAGGAACAACAGCTTGAATTGACATTGTTCCAGGTCAATATTGGCATACAGGCGGACATCAACATCATCCAAATACTCCAACACGCTACAGTACTAGTGGCTTAGTTTGGTCCCACCTTGGTTATCAGCATCACCAAGCGCTTTGCACCCTATCTTCAACCAGCTCTAACACCATCAAATCATGACCAATTTAGATGATATATAGCTTAATTTACTTGAAAGGTGTCAATATCTAGTCTGGTAACCATGCGCTTTTTCTATTACAGCTAAACATTGTGGCATACTGTAAATAACATTGCAGATCAGGCTATCAGGGATGGACAACTATACCTCCTTCAAAGCCTCCCAGAACTGATCCCATTGCTCTTGGCCACCTCCTAGTATATCAAACTCAGGGTGGGCTTGGTGCTGTTACAATCAAAGGACAACCCACAACAACACTGAACAAACAGGACTATGTAACAATACGAGAGGAGCCAAGGAACTGTAGTATTGATTGACCCAAGCAGTGGGCTGCGTCGGCAATACTCAGTATGATCATCACTCTCAGTTGAGCAACTCAAGCAACCCAAGCAGTGAGGCTGCATTGGCGATACTCAGCACAAGCAATATACTCGGTATGGTCAGTATACTCAGCATGAGCAGTATACTCAACACGAGCAGTATACTTGGCACGAGCAGTATACTCAGTACGAGCAGTATACTCAACATAAGCAGTATACTTGGTACAATCAGTATAGTCAGTACCAAGCAATCTGAGCAATCCTCTGCTCAATTATATAGCAAGTAGACATGCTGCCCTTATGGCATCATGTTCAACCTTGTCAATCAGCTTTGTTATTGGAATCTCACTTGCTCTTGAGCCAGACAGTATACTCTGTACTACTCATTGCAACCAGTTGCCACGGTCTTTGACTAGATGACTACCTGACTATTACAAAGGTTATTACAACCCGCCTGGATAGTCTACCCCTGACCACCCAAGCCTTGCTTAGGTGACTGTCAAACCCCTACAGACTCCCTGTACCTCTGCTCCTCCCCAAGAACCAATCAAATAGTGTCTACAAGCTTTGCTTAAGGCATGAATTGCAACAGGTGCATGGCTTGTTTCAATGCCCACCAGAGGTGCTTGATAGGGTTAAGGTCTGGAGAATGTGGTGGATGCTCAAGTGTCATCCTGACATGGCTTGCAGCCAATAACAATCCACCCAGTCACTCCTCATGGAACCTCATGGAAACCCATGGAACCTCATGGAACATCATGGAACAACACAGAATCTTCTGGTTGCTGACAAATGATTACAAATGATTACAAATGCCAATGTATCTAGAACATTTCAGGAGCCAGCAGTCTGTCTATAAGGGCAGCCTGCCCTCCTGCTCAGATAACTCATGCTTGCAACTCAATTCAATTCACCTTTCAATTCATTCCTCAACTCACTCCTCACTGATCCTTTGTCGTATCCCTACACTTGATCCCTTCTTTATCACTTATCCTTTTTACCACTTGTGGTATCCCCACACTTGGTCTCTTATACACCCTTATCTCCAACAAGCCTGAACCATCCTTCCACCAATCCTTCCATCTCAGAGAGCAGTTGGTATCCCCAGCTGGCCCCCTCTCACATATTACACCATTGGAGGCGTTGGTCTCCACTTTTGTATTGTATTAAGGTGTGAAATGGCACAGCGTTGGAATTGATAGCAGTGCAAATTTCAACCGTTGGAAACTGGCCTTGCAATCCTCAGTCCATACAAAGGGCACAGCAGGACTTTGAAGTGCAATGAGCGGTTTGGCAATATGTTAAAACTCAGCAACAAATTGGCGATAGAATCTGGTAAAGCCTAGGAAGGATTTCACACCCATTATGGCTGTGGGTCGCTCCCAGTTGCGTGAGGCTTCCACCTTGTCAGCATCTACTTCAATGCCTTTGTTGGTTAAGATGTAGCCCAGGTACTTGGTGTGTGTGACATGGAATTTGCTTTTCTTGATGTTGACTTGGAGTTTGGCAGCTCAGAGGCATTCCAGTACCATATTGACATGGCACTCATGACACTCATTGTCTTTGGAGTAGATCAGGATGTCATCTAGGTAGGCTATGACAAATTCATCGAGGTAATCAATCAGCACATCATTCATATATCACTGATATGTGGCCAGTCCATTGCAAAGTCCAAAGGGGAGGACTTTACACTTGTAAGTTCTGTATTGGGTCCAAAAGGTAGTATACTCTTCAGAAGCAGGATCCATACAGATTCTGTTGAAAGCAGCTTGGATATCAAGTTTGGTGAACAGCTTGGCTTTTGATGGTTGAGCTAGTAGCTCATCTATGCATGGTATTGGATAGATGTCCTTTTGAGTTGGGTTATTGAGTTTCCAGTAATCCACACAAATACGCAGGCTTCCGTTAAGTTTCTGAACACATAGGATGGGAGAGGCAAAAGGGCTCCAACTGTGTTCAATCCAGCTGTTGTATAGTTGCTCTTGGACAAACAGTCTGGTGGCTTCTAACTCCTCCACGTTCTGCTTGTACAGTGGACTGTAGCTGTTGGGTAGCGGTTCCTCCAGGATAATCTTATGATTGTATGGTCAATGCTCCAGGAGCTCCTCAGCTGCTGTCTTACTGAATACATCCCAATAGTGGTGGTAACAGGGTAGTAAACGTTCTTGGACCAGATGGGCATTTTTGGGGTCATCCAGTAGGTCTCCTCCAGCACTTGCTCAATTTCATACATGCTGGTGATGAAGAACTCGTTTTGTTTCTGTTTTATTTTAAAGTGAAAAGCATTTGCGGAAAGAAGAGCAATTTGGAAAGTAGGTTGTGTTAGAGGTGTTTTGGATGCAGATTGGAAGGTTTCTGGTGTAGGCTTTGCAACCTCCATTACAAAAGGTACCTTCCAAAACTTAGGAGCACAAATCAGTCCACAAATCCTATTGATAGTCTGGGATGGGCTGTTACAATCCCAATAGTCCTCCTGTTCCGATAGCTTGTTGCAACGCTTGATGTCCAGGGCAACATTGTCAGAGTGGATGGGTTGATTCAGCGTCATGAGAATAGGTGCGGCAGGATTGTATGTAACAGGGTACTTGTCTGACCAGATAAGCCAAGAACAATCCGTATCAAGCTTGAGTTTGAAGCACTTCAACCATTTGATACCAATGATACAGTCTTGAGATCTGAGGTCTACAATCACAAAGGGGCAGTTGAGTATCTTTCTGCCATTGATAATCATATAGAGTTGAATATATTATGACACTGGCAAAATGATCTGGTCCTGAAAACCTTTGACATTAACCTTGTAGGGCAGCTTTCAGATGGGTATCCATAGAGCTAAAGAAATAGAGGAAACAACCTTGGAATTCAGAAAAAGGTGCCCTTGGGCTCTGGTGTCAATCAAGCAATTTAGCCAGACTCCAAGGCCATTAGAACAAAGAATAGAAGAGATAAAGAAATGAGAACCACCAAACAACTGAGACAGATTGAGATTTGATAGGTCATAATGGTTTAGGCCTGGGAAGGAGGATCCTCCCGGGTGGGTCTGTTTCCCATCCAAATTGGTTTGTTGTCAAATTCCTCTCTTGCATCTACAAAGTCGTCAGACACTGAGTCAACTTCCAATTCTCTGATGCTAGGTACTGGACACTCCTTTGCAAAGTGTCCTGACTTGCCATGGTTGTAGCAACCACCTAGAGTTGGATCTTATGCTGGTGCTAGGGTCTTGGAAGGTTGTCTGGGTGCTGGTGTAGATGAACTGTAGGTATGGTTCTGGCATTGGTGCAAAGAGTAGTCTCTTGAAGATACTGTGTTTGTGGTCTGGGTCATATCCAAATGGGGGTCATTGCGCTGTTTGAAGGTTGTGTTGTGTGGGTAGGGCAAACGACTCCGTTTTTGGATAGTTCCTTCTTTCCATGTTAAAGGCAGTCAGGTGCTCCACCATGAGCTCAAAAGAATCATTCCACTGTTGCTTGAATCCCAGATTAAGTATCCAAAGCGTGGGGGTTACTTTTGTCCATAGGTAGTGAATCCATTCCAATTGGGGTACTTGTCCTTTGATGGCTGCACTGAGAAAACAGGCCTTGAATACAGGGAAGGTCTCTGTATCGACGCAGGCCAGTAGGGAAGATGTCCGAAGTAAGTGTGAGTCCACTGCAAGGCATTTGGGAGTGCTGGGATGTTGAGAACACTAGGATTGAATTCCCTACACCTATACGTCTTGTACGAAAGGATACAGAAAAACTACTCTATCTAACGACTGTGTCGGACAGATTAAATATACAGTTTGGAAGGGAATCAGAACTACCTATGTCTAGGTGACACGGAGGTAGTTAGCGACAGGAAAGAGAGCAGTGTGCTGAGTCCCGCAGGGACTACACGTTATCGGAGCGCTTTTGGTCAAAGGCGTTACAGTCTCATTCTTCTCCATATGCAGTCGGTCTGTCACGGTATCCTCTCCAGATCCCCTGACAATATCCGGATCCGCTCCGTACTGTCCCTGACCGTACGCACCAAATCCCCAGCGTCCTTACACACCTCCGAAGCGGACGTACAACCTCCGGTCACCTCCGGAGCGGGCCTGCAACCTCCGAAGCGGGAGTATTAGGATTCTGCAAGCCCCGCTCCAGGACTTGCAACCCCGATACCTATCCAACTCAGTTCCGATTATTAACCGGTAACCAAACAAACCCACATGTAAGTATATAGACTATTGCTGGTAGAGTTCTGTTCGGTACACAACGTCTTGTACCTACTTAGATACCGTACGTAGTAATTGATTTAGACTCCTAGCGAGTCCTAAAGGGCCTACTCGTAGCATCTTCGTGACACGGTCAAAGACAGATCTGCTTTCTGCCTTCTTGTTACCAGTGATGGAATTGTTGCGATTTTGTCATCCTGACATGGCTTGCAGCCAACAACAACCCTACCAGTCTTTATACTTGTGTTAGCTCCTATTTGTCAGCACCCATTTGTCAGCACCCAT